TTTACCAAAATACCCCCAAAACTTTTTGGGGGAATTTTGGTCAGTGTATTTTATGTAAAATATTTTTTTACACTTTTCTAATATTCACCTCTTTTTTATGTGCTCACGCCTAAAATTTTAAATGATTTAGATTTGTAATAAATAAATAAAATTCAAATACTACCAGACATCCGTGATCGTCAGATCGGCCCTGACACCTATTTTTGATGTACGCACGCCTAAAAAATTTCAAGTAATTTTGATTTGTAAAAAAAATAAATTCAAACACTACCAGATATCTATAATCGTCAAATCGGCCTAGATTCAATCTGGGCCATTGAGCTCATTTTTTCTTGTGAGCTAGTGGACGCACCCAAGCTCTTTCCTATATATATATATGTGTGTGTGTGTGTGTGTTTTATTTTGTGTGTGTATGTGTGTGTGTGTTTTATTTTATTTTGTATAAATCAATTGGGATTTGAGCCCTTCCCATTTTCAATAATAGTGAAAAGGATGGAAGTACAAAGCTTATGTTGCAATCTTTTCATATTTAATTCCAACGATATTAGAAGAAGGGTGCGATTTGTATAGATCCTAGGCTCTAAACAATAAAATTAGAGCCTACCATCAAATAGTATCGAGAAATGTGGTTTCAATAGTGTAAATCTTTGTGATAGCCGTCAAATATATTTTCATTTTTATTTATAGAGTTTAAAGCTTAAAAAATAGTGTCAATCGGCAAATCTATGAAAACTTTAAAAAAAATTGACAGCCAAAAATGCATTACAAAATACACTATTTCCAAAACTTGAAATCCATTTTTTTTCATGTCCATGCATCTTAATGTCGAGATGATCAATTTGAGGATATTTAGGCATCAAATCAACATCTTCTAGTGAAAATTCTGAGGTATGCTCTAATTTGATTGTTTAGAGCCTCAACTCTATATAAACTCTTCTCTAAGAGGAAATGAGAGAATATGAAAAATCTGAAGGTCAGGCTCGCCTTGTGGTTTCAGTGTGGGTTGCAGCTTTTTTTGGCACCATGTTGCCAATGCGATATATGTGTGAGATTGTCCATGAACAGCCCGCCAGATAGTGAGAGCAATTGGATGCAGAGATGCAAAGATTCTAAGGAGATTTATAACGACCTAAAATGGAGTTTGCCACGATCCGTGAGACACTTTCGATAAGTAGGGGGAAGTATTGTATCTCTATAGCCAGTCGGATACTTATCTCGAGAGCTGGAAATTTGGCATCATTATTGGTTGTACGGTCCAAAGGAGCAGCAAGGAACCCCCTATGTCATTTTTATGATAGCCAGTCATACCTCCACTGTCGGTTACTCCAAGATTGTCAAGGGACGAGTCATCAATATTTAATTTGTAATGACCCATTGGAAGAGGAGACCCCAAAATTAGAATGGAGGCTTTGGGCTTCATTAGTTGCTATTGGATTTTTAGATTATCAACTATGTGTCTCTCTAATGTGTGAAAGGTCCATTCGTTTACATTTGTTGGACTTGCAACAAAAGAGGAGATGCCATACAACAACTGTTCTCTTATGGTTTATTTGAGGATGTGTCAATTTCTTTTAGTCCAATTAAACTATATTGTAGTAGAACACATAAAGATCCACACATTTCTTAGGCCCACCGATATGTACCAAAACTTGACGTATTTGGCAAACATTTCCGTTGTGGACTGATCCAATATCATAGTTTTTCCAAGTCTCCAAAGGATAAACTTCTAGAGAACTTGTGAAAATGAACATTGCATGATAGTGTGGTTAGAAGTTTGTTCCTCTTAGAGACATATGGGGCAGGTAGACTCCATGACCTCACAATTGGAGTAAACTAATGGTAGGCAATCTGAAATGAAGGGAAAGTCATGTGAACCATTTTGCACTAGGATGAATTAGTATAGACCAGAGAGTTTTAAAGATAGGTTATACGGGGGCTGATTTGCATATTTGATTCCATGCACTCTTGATTGAGAAATTACAATCGGTAAAGTGAATCCATATCAATTGATCTATAGTGGGACAAATACAGAGAACGTAAGATTGTACCTCACCCCATGCGCAAATAAGAGAATCATAAGTAGGTCAATGGAGAGGGTGAGTCCATAAAGTAATCAAACACTTTATGTTTGACTAGGGCATCAAGTTATTGTAGACGTTATTGCCATATTTATCCCACATCGATTATCATAAATCTACGAGTCAATGCAAAAAGCAATAATTTTTCCCTCACCAACGATCCATTTCACATTATTGTGTAACCCATTAATTCCTATAGATATTATTCTTTAAGATTCATAACCACTTTTAGCTTGAGAAAACCAGATGGACGATATTTAAAGAATCGAGCTAGAAGGGAAAATGGTTTCGAAATTGATGAGAGAGAGAGAACGAAAAGAGCCAAAAAATTGATGACGCGTAGATAACCGATTTTTATAGTTATAGCCGACCTGCATAAGATAAGGAAAGTGCTTGGCAAGAGCCGATCTTTCATATAGTCTTCCAAGTTAAACAATGACAATATGAATTGTTTACGATGAAAATCTGACAGATATTCCGATAAAGATCTCTCAAATTTTAACACCTTAAACTAATTAAAAAGATGTAAATAAAGTGGTAGAGAAAGTGGGACAGATCGAATTCAAATCTGAGGGCAGATTTGCCCGAAAACGAGCAGATCTACTCTCAGACCTGTGGTAGAGCCAGCATGATCCAGAGCATTAAAATACGATTTTCAAGATAAGTTAACAGATAAGAAATAAAAAAAATAAGCAAAACAATATGAAGAAGAAGAAAGAGAGAGGATGAAATAATACCAAACTGAGTCGGATGGCCCGGGATGCCTAGGCCTTCGAGGGCTCGCCCGTATCAGAACCGGTCCTCTTTGCCTCTCTGATTCGGATGTTGAGCAGCTGATCTATAGTGTAAAGGGTTATATCTAAGGTTGTTGTGCCCTAATTCTAGTTTTGATCTAGGGTTTTCGTGCCCTAGGTCTAGGTTTTCTCAATCTTGGGGGTTAGGAGTTCAGGACGCTATGGTTTATATCTTCTATAGGGTTTTCAATCTAAAGTTTTTTTTTAAGTTGTTGGTCTTTCTAGGGGTCTGGAGGAGAATTTCTTTAGTTTTCCAAGGGTTTTCTAATCTCCAGAGGTTGAATATGAATTCTGAAATTTTTATAATTTTTTTGGATCTTTCCTAAATTTTTAGGAATTTTCTAAGGGTTTTTCTATTTTTGGGTAATTTTTTTAATTTCAATAATTTCTAAGGTTTTTATGGTTTATTTTTCTCTCTCATTCTGGGTTAGGGAGAGTAGATATTTATATTATTCAATTCGTGATTTTTCCTAAATGTTTTGGATTTTTTTCATAATTATTTGGATTTATCTTGAAGTTTTGGCATTATCTAATTAAAGAAAACGCGTTTACTGCATCATCAGATTGACTGTATCATCAGCCCGCATTTGGGCATATCGGGCCCGTTACAGCCCGGCTCGCGGCCCGACATTTGGGTATCACAAGGATTAAATTGTTATTTGTTATATCTTTTTATATGTAGGTCTGATTCAGGCGATTATTATATAGTTTGAAAACTCTTCGGCTCTATTTCAAATACTTCAAATTGGGATAGGATTTTTGGTAGTTTTGGGGTAATTAAATTGGGTCTACTAGGATAATGTGGCCTTAAGGGTATAGAAAATCATAGAATTTGCCAGATTTAAAATGAGGTGTCTACATTAATATATTGATAGCTCATGAAACAAAGGAAGACCAAGGTACCTGACATAAAGATCTGTAGTCCCGATAGTCGACACGTGGATAATACAAAATTCTATCATCTTTTCCTCTTGACGATAGTTGACACGTGGATATCGGAAATTTCTGATATTAGACCGATTAGTCTTCTTACAAGCCTTTATAAAATCATTGCTAAAGTGCTGGCTGAAAGACTAAAATTGGTCCTCTCTCTCCTCATTTCTAATACGCAATCAGCTTTTATTGAAGAGCGTCAAATTACTGATAGTGTACTAATAGCGCAATAATGCATTCATTCTCGAGTGATTAGCAAAAAGCCCGAT